TTAGACTTATATGCTAATTATGTAAAATAGTTAAAACAGCGTAGAATTTGTTTCCAGTTTCATAGATAATTATACATTTAACACATCAAAAAGCCATAACTTCTCTGCCTCCATCTTCTTCATCTATTGAATCATCTTCATCCTTTCTCTGTTGTTTCTTCTTTGATGTTGCATCTTTCTTCTCTTTTTGAGCTTTACGGAAATTTTCCAACGATTCGTGCAATGGATCAATGAATTGATCGAATTCTACATCATTCATAGCTTGAAGCACATCTTGAGCACTTAACATTTTACGATTGCCTTTTTTAGCAATTATATTCGCGGAGGATGTTAAATATAATATAAAAATTGAAGATGCTTTTGCTACAGCTATTCTAGCATCCTTAGCAATTGTAACGCCTTCTGGTAAGGCCTCTTTTATAATTCTTGTCACAACGGCATTTGGTAAATTAAGATCTTCAAGTCGTTCTGCCATCGGATTTTTTTAACTATTTATTGTACGGAAACGTAGAATCTTCGATCATAAAATTTCTATGAAATAAAGTTGTTTGTATCGTTATACAGTGCGAGGTTATGTTTCAGCATTTATAAATATGAAAGATTGCAGAAATTTAATATTATGACATGAATTACCTTGCTTCGAGTGTTTTCTAAATAAATTTGTTAATTTGATAAACTGAATGAAAAATGTGCCAAAATAAGCACTTAATTTTTAATAAATTCTTTCTCCTTATTTCCCGCCAATACCTCCGATGGTGAAAGCATGTCAAGCAAAGTGTAAACAACAGCGTAAGCAGCTCCTGAATGAATTTTCATGAACGCTCAATAAAACAATCTATCATTAAATTTTCATAAATAATATTAATGAATACACTTCTGCATTTAAATTACAATATCTCCTTGAATTATATGCTCCATAGTCCGTTATATGTATCTATGTACAATATGCATTGACATTGACATACGTACATGTAAACAGAATAAATGCCGTTGTAACGTTGATCTTGCAATACGAACTTTCAACCTTAGAATGCGCTTACTATACGCATATGTATTTAATTCTACATGCACCAAATAATTTCTTACTATGTACAAATTTCTTTAATTATAAAGAGCTACTATATTCATCAATACGGAAGTTAAAATTTAATTCGTGATTAGTATACAGGATTTAGATAAGATTTAAAAAATATTATAATATAAAATAACATAAAATAGTTTTATGTTTTATAATATTTTTATAAATATAGTGATATGTTAAAAAGGTCAGATATTTAAATGAATAGATAATTTATAGCAGAGAGAAAATTTCCGGTGTGTACACAGTAAGTCCATATATGTACGACTTGTACAATCCATGTGGATTGTCGAAACAAATGGATTAAAGATTTTCGCGGGTATTATATTCGTCAAAGATTAGCAAGTATGCAATAAGTATACAATTCGAAGCAGAATTTGCTAAATAGACCTACCGATAAATCCAAATAGTAAACCTAAAACGAAATGCTTTCCTTTTTCTCCAGTTTAAGAAATTCAAACCAACCGCCACACCACATCATAAGTGTTTAGTATTATAGATGGGAATGCCGTTTGCCCTAATGTTTCTCGCGAAGAAAGAGTGGGGCAACTGAGGCTGACTGCAGACAAGTTGTGTTGTGTTCGATGGTATATTCATACAGTGACGAATCTTGTCTTGCAAATACCTACTGTATTCCGAAGAACCTGTCGTCTGCACGGTGGTTGTCAAAGTGAGTTTTGAAAGTTAACTTGCCCTTCGGACTGACAGTTTCGCTGTTATATTTATTCGATTTAAAGGCGCTTGAACGAAGACACCATTCGGAGAAAAATGTCAAAAATTGAAGAAGGAAATGCCCATATACGGCAAGCTGAGAAAAGGTATTGTCACTGCGAAATGACACTTTACGAAAAGTCGTGTCGATAATTGATTTGTTTTTCGTAAAGTTCTTGCATGATATTGACGATATGCATTTTCAATGAAGTAAGAATCATTCAATTTTTATCGATTTATTTGACGAAACAAATAAGGCAAATGTATGTTGCAGCTTAAAAACATCATTGTTAAAATGGAGACCTGACTTTGAACTTGCGGCCGACGAATATACGAGTGCTGGTAAAATATACAATATAAATATATTATACTGTACTACTTCTATTTGACATATGTTTTTTGCTTTTTATTGTAGCAACTTGCTTTAAAGTAGCAAGGTCCTATCAACAATGTAAAGAATGTTTGATGAAGGCTTCTCATTGTTATAAGGAAAATAGATCGTATCCTTTTGGAAATATGTATTACTATTTTGTATTTATTTTACAATTATATTTATTCCTTGACTTTAATTGCATAAAAGATGGTTCTATGCTGCAAAGTAAGTTTTTTAAAATTTGTGTTACATTATATTTTATAGGTAATATTATTATAGTTAAAAATTTTAGGAATATTGAACAAGCTGTATTAGTATGCAAAGAAATGGGAAATCTTGCGGAGGTGCCAAAACTGGCACACAGTGCTTGCTCTTTATATCAAATGCATGGTTCACCTGAATCTGGTGCAAGTGTACTTGACAAAGCAGCAAAGATAATAGAAGCTAGTAATCCACAAGAAGCACTAGAACTATACAAACGGGCTGCTAGTATTGTCATGGTAAAATATTGTCTTATACAATCGTTGCAAATTTTGTCAGTAACTTTGTAAGTTATCGTCTTTTAATAAAGGGTGAGGATAGTCCACGTCAAGCAGCGGAGTACACAAGTAAAGTGGCAAGATTGCTAGTGAAATTACAAATGTATGACGAAGCTGCAGATGCAGTTCGCAGAGAAATTGGAATGCATCAACAAATAGATCATGCGCCTTCTGTGGGAAGATTAACTGTGGCATTGGTATTAGTACAATTAGCTCGAGGCGATCAAGTAGCAGCTGAGAAAGCTTTTAAGGAATGGGGAAATTATTGCGAAGCTCCTGAGGTATTCTACAGATATTTTCAAAATTACAAAGTTATCAGTGAATTTTTAATATATGTATCTTTAGGTAAATACATTAGAAATGTTACTACAAGCATATGACAATGAAGATGCAGATGCTGCAAAAGCAGCTTTAAATAGTCCTTTTATAAAACACATGGATGTGGAATATGCTAAGTTAGCTAGAGGTTTGCCTTTACCACAACAAGAATATGCGATATCACCACCAGGAGTAAGAGCGAATGCAGCTGAATCATATTCATCTCCTAACGCAACAAAGTTATTGGATGAAACTGCTAATGATGGTCAAGTATGTAATTTATATATTATTTATATGTAATTTATTATCAATTTTTTGTATAATTGAAACCATGATATAACTCGTATACATTTATTATAATCAATAACAATATGAACAATTTTATAGAGCCCAAGTAATAATGCACCAGAAAATATTACTGAGAAACCATTAGAAAACAAAGTGTTGGAATCTGTTGAAAAAGATGTAGAACAACTATCAATTTCAAAGAAAGTAGAAGAAGACGAAGAAGGTGATGAGTATGAAGAGGGCATTTGTTAAGATCAATGTAATTTGTATCTTAAGATAAACTCACTTTATTTTATGAGAAGTACTATATCATGTTATCTTCAAGACATATTTAATGCCTAAAAACCATTCTTTGTAGGCAAGCTTATTATATATGCGTATACTTGTAAATCTCAAACTTGTTAAACATTGCACATTATTGGCTTCGTAAAAAGATCGCCAGATTCTTAAAAAAATTACATATGGTATGTTATATTCTTAGAAGTATTTTCAGAAATGTGATATTCATGACAAAATTTCACTCATTTAAAACTATTGTTGTATTTAATATTTTAATACAAAGTTTTCTGCGTGAATTATGAAAAATGTTTCCACAGAAAGTTAGTGTATAATACGTATGCATTTATGTTTGATAGAATTATGTAAACATCTCACGCATAAACTTTTCATATACTCAAGTCAGCTTTGTAAATATTATGTTTTTTAGTATTCAAACAACACCAGCTATGTATAAATTGATATAAATCGAAATACAAATACAAAGTCAATAAAATCATCTATATGAGATAAAAATATTTTAATATTCTAATTTCGTTCGAACAAAATGTGAGTTGTGAAAATATATATAGTAAAATAAACTGTTATTGCAAACATATAATCAACGTATATTTATCCGTCACTTATAGCCGTGTCAACGAAGAGGTTATGTATATCAAATATAAATACAGAGTATGATAACATAATTTTTTTACTTACAAGTTTTATTCATCAGTCGAAGTCTATTTTCTTGTATAATAAATCTTCATGTAAACGCAGTAAAATTTTTAACATAATATATTTGTGTTACACATCGATATTTATACTTGCACTTTCACTAAGTTTGTTTTTAAAAGATTACCGCGAAGTTGTACGGCGTGTTATAACCGGTAAGGGAGAAACACTAAACTAAATATGTA